AACCATGCTTGCGAGACGGTCCCCCTACTTCTACAAAGGCTTATAAATCCTACATCCTTCGGAACAGGACTCGCGCACACGCACAACCGGCAGAGCCGGTAGATAGATAGATAGACACAGACACAGACACAGACGCACAGACCCACAGACCCACAGACACAGACACAGACACATAATCACACAGACACCGAGACAGAGACAGAGCGAGAGAGAACGATGAGGCACGAGGCGCGGCGATGATGCATAATGTTCAATGTTCAGGGGGGGTCCACACAGGGACCCGACCGTGCCTCATCATGTTGTGAATCTCGCACCGAGATGCGAGACCAGGGCGCATGCGTGCGCGAGGGGGGTTTGCCTTCCCTTTGGCTGGGATGAAGAAGAAGAGAGTTAGCGCGCACAAGAGACGCACGGTTTTGCCATGGCCCAGCGAAGAGGTACTGCATGATTTTTGTGACGTCATGACATCGCTTATGCAATCGTCCAGAGCATAGCCTCAGAAGTTCACACATAGTTTAAGTCGCTGTTTTTGGTCATTTCGTACACGCAAGACGCACCTCGTGCGATCATCGCTTGAATCACTCATCTCATCATCTCGTATAGGCTAGGCTATAGGCTGTGGGTGTGTGTGTGTGTGTGTTTTGATCTCTTTGCATTCATGTGTGACCGGCAGGAGCTTCAAGGGTCCGGACCTCAGCTGAGGCTGAGGGATGCCGATCGTCACACGCAATATGCTAGTGTTGCCTCTGCTCTGGTTTTTAGGTTCAGGGTGATCGAGCTGAACGAGACAGGCTGCAGCAAATTGGCAAGGGTCAGCAAGTGGTCCAGTATCTCCTTGTGAAAGTGTTCTTGAGGGTCGTGAGGGCTTCTCATCTGCTCATGAGCAGGGCCGCGCAACCCCAAGCCAAGCTGCTACGGTTGCCAGAGGCGTCTGCAATTCCTGGACCCTGGTCGGTCGTTGGAGTGTCGGGGGCTGCACTGCACGGCCAGGACTTGCCAACGTCAGGGCAAGGCAGCGTTCCAGAGTTTTCCGAGATTGTGGACAAGGTCTGCAGCCCAGCTGCTCATCCAGCGCATAGTTCTGTGACAGCCCTGGGTTTTGGAAAGCATCGACGGTCCAGGCGCGCCGGCTGATGGGACCTGAGCCAACCGATGGTACAGACCTCAGTCTTCGGAGATGGAGGTGCCGGGAAGGCCCGTGCTAGGGCTACGGTACATGCACATGGCATGATACCGCGGAGGTTCTTCGCAGAGGCACCGGGCAACTTCGTGTGGCTCTCGGCAGCCCTTGGGGCAACTGTCCTAGGTAGTATTAGGGAGACCCCTTAAAGGGGACCCTTCTGAACCCTACTTCTGGCTCTCTTAAAAGGGGACCTTAGTGAGAGGGTCTATATCCCCAAGTGTCCCCCTAATCCTAACTCCCAAACTGGTGGTAGGCACTTCGGGCACAGGTCGACGGCCTCAGATCTACGTGGCAGTGGGGTGTGGAGCTTGGGGTCCACTGGTGCTCCGGACAGTCTTGGCACACTGCATCGAGCGAGGCCCGTGACAGAAGGACTGACCAGCAGGAAAGGGGCCGTTCCAACATGGAGCAGGCTGGCCCTATGCAGACATCTGTATTCATTTGTCGGGGGATCTCTGCCTTGCGCGTGGGATCCGCGGGTTCGGCACTAGGAAAGTTTGCAGTTGCCAGTTCAACCAGCCAGACAGTCGACTTGGAAGTAAGCACTCCAACAGCAGTTGGTCGTCACGAAGGTCTGGTAACAACAAGGTCTTTCTTTTTGATGCTCACGGGATGATTGCCCTGGTCTTCAGTACCATTGAGCAGCATCACTATTGCGGTTCTGGTTCCCTGGTAAGTTAATCTTGTCCGACTGGGGATCCTTCTTATGAGAAGGCTCATGGGTGAGTAGCAAAGGGTCTAGTAGTAGACAGAAGGGCCATTTACCGCCGGCAGCAGCGGCAGCAGCAGCAGCTGTAGCAAGCAGCAAGCAGTGATGCTCCCAAGTTTCTGAATAAGACTCTAAGAACAAGTAGCATGGTCCTTGGAGCCTGATGCGCGCGTTGCGCGGTCCTACATGGGATTTATTTGCCCGGGTTCACCTCGCAACCTATGGTGGGGGGAGGTGTCCCTCTGCGAGCTGGTACTCGTCTCAGGCACCTAAGGCGCTCGATGTTTTGGCAAGCCGCTTTGGCAAGCACCGAAAAGCCTTTGAAGACGAGATTCTGCTCTCAGACTATTTGGGAAGTCGTGTCGCGATTGGAGAGCAGAAGAGCTCTAGCCGAAAGCGGCAGCCGGTTAAGCCGGAGCAGGTGCCTGGGAGAAGTGCTGACCTTGCTAACCCCAACTGGGGGACTTCAATGGAGACGGACGTGGAACAGAAGGTTCGTGAACGAGCTGCCGTCCAAGCTGGGCTAGGCGTCGGCAAGGTAGTCTCTCCGCCTCGGCCTCAAAGAAAAGACAGACGACCAGTACCAGCTCGTTTGGCAAGGCGTGCAAATGAAGGCGTGCTGGAAATAGTGGATGCTATGTCTGCTGCGTACGGTTCTTCGCTCCAGCTGGATGTCGCCAATGATGGCGAGACAACATTGTCCGAAAGCTTGCCTGCTACCGAAGTTACCACAGCGGAAGGTTCCGGTGCAAAAGAGCCGGTGCGACTGCGAATCCTACCTTGGCATCGGCAGGAGATGTGTCGGATGGTGTGCCGACAGATCCTCTTCAACTGCTTGCAGGCACTTCGCACCTTGCAGCACAAGCACAGCCACCAGAATCCCATGTGGGAATTCGAGCGGCGCCGTGCGAAGTTGCATGTGGAGTCCGCGCGGATTGTTGGGCTAGTAGATTATCTGGCGATGCTGCATTTTCAAGTTCAGCATGGCCCAATGCGCAAGAAGTACACACCTGGAACCCCGCTGAGCATGAGCATCACCCGCCTCAACGAGATACTGCTGGAGGAGAGGCGAGACATGTCTGCGTCGTTTAAGGCAGTGATGGGTAGAAGGGTTTCTGAAGATAGGTTTATTCGCCACTTTCTGGATGGCGACATATCGTGGACAACTATCACGAAGCTACTGGGAGGTCGAAAAGGCAGTTTCACTCACAAGGCCAGCTAGGTGCGACTTTTCTGCGCTTGCCAAATATGGCATGTGCGCTACATTCACCGAGATTTTCATGCTTTTGCTGCATCCGCATAAGTGCTATACCGAGCAGCGCAGCAAGCGAGACGAAATAGCCACTCGTCCGAATGCAAGGTGGTCAGAGGTTTATCCATGCCTGAGTCTCGTGATTTCATGTCGGATGGCATTCAACTTCATGGCTTCGCCATGCCCCAGTTCCAGCAAGTGATGGGTTGTTAAACTACAGCGGCTTGATGGCTTATACCGAACTGTGACAGGTCGCACTTAACGCATCTTCATGCCAAAGCATGCCGTTGCCTGTTCGGGTTTGGCAGCCATGCACAAGACATGCAGAGTCCGCCCCGGCAGGCCGCTGACGTGGGCACTTCTTCTGCAGGCTCGCAGCCTGGACGGGCCTTGTCGTCAACAAGCAACACTGGTCAACAAGTGCTGGGTTCACACTACCTCAAGCAGAGTAGGATCAGCTGCGCAGGCCGTGACCTGGGACTGTCCAACAGCCTCACAGGTGCCCGAGGTGGGCAGGGTAGGAGTATGAATCTGAGAAGATAGAAGTACTGCATGATTCAACATACAAGCCCGCTTGGCAGACGTGGTTCCCTCTTCAGATGCACGGCTCCCAGAATGGGAAACCGGACGGGGCACACATGTCACGTGCGGATGTCAGTCTGTCTGGCAGAATCTGGTGCTTGCACGTGGGCTTGGCGGGTTGCATTTTGCTTTCTTTTGTCTCCATGTGCCATGGTTGAGCGGACGGAGAATTTTTTGGTCAGATGCTGTCGTGACACTTCACGGACGCGTGTGGATCATGTGGAGTTTCTTGCTCACGGGTTTGTCCGCGGTGGACGTCCTTTGGGAAGAAACTCTGCTCGGGGGACTCTTGCCAGCAACATGAGCTTGCAGGCCCGCCGTGATGAGGATGGGCGCGACGAGCACCTGCCTGACCTTCCAGATTTGATAGTCGAGTCGACCATGGTTCAATGACTGAGGCATACACGGAGTCGTCGGCAAGTCTCCTTGAAGGAGGTGCGGCCGGAGCATGCATCCGCAATGACCGCCAGCATGCCTTGCTGTGCACGAAGGCAGACCAAGCTAGCAGAGGACGTCGCCAAAGCACGAGTCTCATGACCACGAGCTTGAAGCATTTCCCCCTGCACCTGGGAAATGCCAGGAAGTGGCTGCGTAGATACCAGAGTTACCTCTTGATTAGTGCACTAGCCCGAAACCGCGCAAATCAAAATACCTGCCATTTTCGCACTTAGGTGGGGCAGCTGCTGCAAATGCACTCGATGAGGAAATCTACAGCAAGGTTCAATACCTGGCCGTCTCTCTCGTCACGTACAAACCGGTGCTCGGACAGGCTTTGAAGCTCATGGGCCCAGATGCGGTACAGAGACCAGCTGCCCTTGCTAGAGAGCCAGGGACTTGAAGTCTTGAAGCGAGACTCAGGGTGCTGCTGCTGCTGCTGCTTCTACTACTACTACTACTACTACTACAATTGCTACTACTACTACTACGACGACGACGACTACTACTACGACGACGACGACTACTACTACTACCGGTTTGCTCACGTCAGAGCTAACCGGTGTGATCGGGGTTGCTTTCCCAGATGCCGGGGACCATAGACTTTTGTTGCTGTTTTGTTTGTGGAGTGTGGTTGCGGTTGACTTCCTATGATCCCCGGCATCTGATCTCCCAGTGACTAGTCAGGACCTCGCAGTGCTGTCGCGGACGTGCCAAGTGAGTGACGAAACTACTACTGTTACTTCTACTGCTGCTAATTACCACTACTACTACTACTACTACTACTATTACTACTACTAGTATTACTATTACCACCACGACGACGACGACTACGACTATT